CTTAACAACTTAACTTTTTTTTTACTTTTTATACCTTTTTCGACACCCGTGGGACGATATGGAATGGTGCATTCTATTACGCCGCTACGTCATAGCAATTTAACATAAAAGAAAGTTGAAGTTACAGCCTATATACTACTGGGCACAAGCCTCCCCTCATTTCTGACAGAGTTTTTTTTTTATATTACGCTAAGCTAGCGCTTAACTACGATCCTACCTGATGGACAGTGGTGATGAATCCATTGATGTTAATACCGTGTCCTTTCCAGTATAGTGAAATTTGCAGCGAGCGCTAACCATAAACGTAATTTATCGTAATATAGCGGTCAGATCAAAATAATGAGTTGTGACTAAGTTTCGATTTAAATCACCACCCAAAATTTTTAATCTGTGACAATGTACCCATCCTAACACAGACATTTTCTTAACAAATATGAGAGGCTATAACGAGTAAACATCAAATAGCAACAAATAACAACATTCTAAAATTTTTAGTGAATTCGAGTACTCGGAAGTTTACCGCCGTGGCCGAAACCGGCCATGAGAACTGTAATAATAATAATAATAATAATAATCTTTATTTGCGTAAAACATGGTATATATGTTGTTCACAGGTAAAAATCGAGCGCTCATGTTTTGCGTATTTTACATAGCATGCAAATATATTTAAACAATATCAAATTTTCTTTAACTATTTGAAGTACATTAGTCAGCTGTTTTAGTTAACAAAGAGAAATAATATTATAATAATTAATTACATGTCAATTTCAACACCTAATAATAGTCGCACAGCTTAATCAAAGATATATTGTACAATACTATATTTTATTATTTTATATTTATTACAATAATTAAATGAATTTTTTTTAAATAAATGTTATCCAGTACATAATCTAATTTTTTTCTAAGAATTGTTTTACACTATAGAAATTATTTTCATTCAGCCATTTGTACAATTTCTTTTTGAACAATGTAATATTTAGGGTTTTAAGTTCGTCAGGGAGCTTGTTATATATTCGGACACACATGGTAAGGCAACTTTTGCCATATTTTTGTGATTTAGGTATATCCTTAAGTACTAGCTTGTGTGGGTCCCTACGTGAGCGAGTAGTCTGTACCTCACAAGCTTTTTCAAATAATTGTTTGTGTCTCTGCACAAAAACACAAACTTCTAAAATATATATCGTTGGTAGTGGCAGTATTCCAAGACCTTTAAATAGAGGCTGACACGATTCATCAGGTCGTACTCCGCAGATTGCCCTAATGCATTTTTTCTGCGCAATAAAAGCCCGATTCCAATCCGAACTATTTCCCCACATCACCAGTCCATAACGGAGTATAGACTCGGCATATGCTCGGTAAGTCATAACAGATGTTTTTATGTCAGTCACTTTTTTTATTTGGTTGAGCGCGTAACAACATTTGTTTACTTTATTACAAACTTCATCGATATGTGCTTTACAGTTCAGATTCTGGTCTATGACAACACCTAAAAATTTTGTTTTTTCTATTTGATTGATTTTTGTAATGTTTAGCTTGAAATTGTATTGGTTATGTTTTGAATTATTAAACCGAATAAAATTTGATTTTGTCAAGTTAATTTTTAAATTGTGAGCTTGTAGCCATTCAATTATATTATCAATTGTATTATTTATGTCCAATTCGTGATTATATATTGAATTCTTATTTTTTTTAGTCCTAACTATAACCGAAATGTCATCAGCGTATGTAATACATTCATGACTTGTCGCATCAGATATGTCATTAATATATAATATAAATAATATGGGCCCTAAAATACTGCCTTGTGGAACACCATTAATATTTTCAATGCAGTTGGATTTATATGTTCTTAATTCGTTATTGATTAGTTTTGTTAACGTGACACATTGAGTACGATTTGTTAAATACGAAGCAATCCATTGCAACGTAATACCCCTTATTCCTATTTTTTCCAATTTATTTAATAATAGATCGTGTGATACGAAGTCAAATGCCTTAGTCAAGTCAAAAAACAGTCCCGTAGTCAAATAATTATCATTAATATTGGTCAACAATGTATTGATTAGGTGATGAATAGCTAAGTTAGTCGATTTATGTTTTTGAAAGCCATATTGATTTTTATTTATAATGTTAAACTTATTGCAAAATTCTAGGAGCCTTTTATACATACACTTTTCAAATACTTTTGAAAGTATAGGTACAAGGGTAATTGGGCGATAATTGCTAACAACGTTTCTGTTGCCACGTTTGTGTATAGGCTTTACAATGGAGGACTTTAATGTTTCTGGAAAGCTTCCTGATGAGAATGACAAATTGACAAGATGAGTCAAAATGTCAATTATTTTATCAATGCATGACTTCAATATGTGTGTATTTATGCCATCGTAGCCTACAGAGTTGGTTTTATTTAAGGTCATTACCTCTAATTTTACTTCATTTGCTGACATGGGTTTAAGGAACATTGTGCTTAAGTTAAAATTGTTCGTAATATAAGAGCCTTCAGCATTGTTTACATTATTAATACAAATTTTTCCGATGTTTGTAAAGTAGTTGTTAAATATTTGGGATATTTCTTCCGGGTTTGCTATGTCGGAGTCGTCAATTTTTAGATAGTCAACAGAAGCTTCGCTTTGTGTTATACCTATTTCATTTTTTATTATAGACCACGTTGCTTTACATTTATTATTACTGTTTTGAATAAATTTAATGTTTGCAAGTCTCTTAGATTTATTTATACATTTTTTTAGGATATTTGAATATGTAAAATATTTCTGTCTATTGCTTGCTGATTTATGTGTATAATAGTTATATCGGAGTTTTCTCTTTGTGTTACAACTTTTTAGTAAGCCTTTACTAAACCACATGCGATTGTTTTTATTTGAGTTATTAACCTTTACTTTTTTAGTTGGGAAACACAAATCGTAGAACAATTTGAAGTTCGAATGAAAATTATTGAAGGCTATATTCAAGTTAGGTTCACTATATACTTCAGACCAAGAGAGGCTATTCAAGCATTCCTTAAACTTTTTAATATTTTCTAAAGAATAATCTTTTTTGAATGAGTAGTAGGATTTTTCTGTTTTAGGAATATTTTTTTGGATCGGAATACTCAGTAGTTGCGCTGTTTCATGATCCGACAGACAGAGAGGCAGTACATGAGCAGTAGCGTCCTTCACATTACTAAGGATGTGATCTATGCACGATTCTTTCCGAGTTGGAACATCGATATGGAGTTTCAAATTATAGTTATTGCAAAGATCTTTTAAGTGGCATGTTAGGCTGCCAGGTTTCAAGGTTTCAATTAACTATTTTTAATTTGTTTTGGTCATTAAATATACAAAGAGTCACGTAAACTAACGAGAAATGAGTACATCTTAAAAATAAACTTACTGTTTTTATAATATAGGGTGGTCAAATGGTTTACAAAATAACTAATAAAGTACAAGTAATATTGTCTATCAGACCACATTTCGGTCAAGGTGCCCAATCCGAAAGGAGACTATCTGCGCAGGATAGGTTTTTGTGTACACATTTGCATGCACTCTATGGGGCCACATGCTAAGCAGTTACGACCACTCGACACTTTTATGATAAGTGCTCTCCTTAAAACTCCATAGTGCGCGAGCATTTATACGTGGTAGAGCCACACTGCAGCTATATTAGTAGAATAGTTGTAGCCCGAATGAGTCAGCTCGATCGAGGAAGGACCACGTTCTCACAGAATACCAGCCTTAATTAGCAGCTTAGCACTGCTGTGTTTTTTATGGTGAGTGTAGAGAACCGGAGACCCTTTTTACTGGAAAAGAGGCATTCCATCTTAGTCCTCACGGGTGACAATGCATCTGCATTTTGATTCTTTATTAAGGATAGATGTAGATGTCTATGGGTCACAGCAACAATTTACCGTCTGGTGGACTGTGTGCTCGTTTGTCACCATATCCTATAAAAAAAAACAGTAAAGGTAAACATTGTAAGGAAACTTGTCTGAGAAATAAATATTATTATAATAAGTTAATTTATAAAAGTTGCCAGTTTCTCGCTGTTCTATAAGATCATTACGAAGACTATGAGCAGAAACTACATTATTTAATTCGTCTCTTCTCATTCAATCATTGGATGATGGTCACCGAATCACATCCCCTTTTGTAATCGATATTCATCGCATTCGAATCAACCATGAATAATGTTTGATGAAGCAATACTATCGTCTGTGATGTGTACATCAAGTGTGTAATAATTTGTTGACGTTTTTTTCTATCCGATTACAATCTTGAGGTATTCAAAGGATGAGTGAATAAGGCGTAAAGTCACGCTAAGAATGCTATTTACCTTCTGGGGCTTCGTCATCGCTTACCATCAGTTGGAATTGCAGTCAAGCACTGGCTAATAATAAGTTAAAAAAACATCATGGACCTGTGAAGTCGTCCAACATGGATTAGGGCAGTGTGCTGAACTCTCTTCTCTGTTCATTACTTCAAAAACCCTTTTATATCAAAAAAAGCTTGTGTTAAGAAGCGGGACACTTGTTTGGTTTACTTTACTTTTAATTGTGAAACAACGCCAAAGTTATTTTAGCAGTCTGTCTGCACTAAATACGCATCTATCATCATTGATCAAACTGCCTCCGGTCAAAGCGTTTCTGGCGTGGCGTTTGAGCCGTTTACCAGTATTTGCTATCATATATGCAATTAATACGATAAAAAAATTATTATTGACACAATCAAGATTTATTTAGCCTGTAATGAATGACCGAGTTAGTTGTGTGCGTTTTGATAAATTATATTAACCTACGTCTTTGGAGAACTTAAATTAAAATCTAAAAAATATGCCATGAAATTTGTAAACTTTAAAATGTTATGAATGTTTTTAATAAATACTAATTAAAAAACTGTACAGCCTTATATTTTTCAAAATAACAACCTTCTAAAACTGCGTTGTTTCCTACTTTTATTTACAATATTAAACCTTAGTGTTTTTAATTTTTTTAGAACTCAAAGATGATAGTGCAAGTATCCAACATGTCCGCCTTGACGTACGAAGATAATTCCACTGATAGTGAGTACACGCCGTATGAAGATCGACTTGAGACGTACATAGTGCCAGTTATCTTCGCAATCATTTTCATCGTGGGCGTCCTCGGCAACGGAACCCTTGTCATTGTCTATATCAGACACAGGGGCATGAGGAATGCCCCAAACACGTAAGATATCATGAATATTTTGTAATAATATTAGAACTAACACTTACGTTAGTCTACCTATTTAATTTTTAATTACTTTATATTTTTTTAATAAGAATTAAAGATTCGACATAAAAGCAATTTTAAAACAATCATTAGGACTACAATAAAACCGCGTGATTAAGACTATGACACTCCAGATTATTCTCACAGTTGCAGTACTAGGTTTTTACATGGCAGAGCCATACTGCAGCTACATTATGGTTAAAGCACAAATAGGTCGGCTAGGCGGGGGAAGGTTCAGGCTCTCCCAGAATAACAGCATAAAATAACAGCTTAAATCTGCTGTGTTTCCTTTAATGAATCTAGAGATCTGGATACCCTTTTTACTGAAAACATGACATTCCATCTTATACTTTTCCTACATCATTGAAATCAGAATATAGCAGTGGTTACAACATTACCGCTTATCAAAAAAACTGAATGATGGCAAAGTAAGATATACAGATGTCTTTAGTACCATTTTAACCTCACTGAAAATCTCAGGTCGCTCGGAAATGACGATACTACAGTCGGTCTTCAATATAAATAGTTCGCTCTTTACGGAAAATTATATTATTGTTATCTAGCGAAGACATGGGAGCCTTGGTTCTGCTTAATTGCTTCATAAAATTATCTGTATTGATGTTGCGTAAGTCTTGCCGCATGCAATCGAAGATATATCTGTTGAGCTGCATATATACTGTCACCTGTCATATCCGTTAAAGATTGCAGCTTTATTCGACTGACCAGAGGAGCTTATACAAAAATAGAGTCCTGTCACATGTGAAAGTGAATTTAAATGAGATAATACCGAAAAATATAAGAAATGAAAATTTATTATTACTCGGTTAGGGCAAAATTGTAATAGTTGAAATGAAATGAATTGAAATAAGCTTTATTGATTTCTCCCATAAATAGTAGACATACTAGCGTAAAATTGTCGTTTAATGTTTTTATGTTTCGTATAGTGAGTGCATGTGTTTATACGTGGTAAAGCCATACTGCAGGTATATTATGACTGTAGCACGAATGTATTGGCTCGTGGAAAAGAATCACACTGTCACAGAATACCAGCGTAAAATAACAGCTTAATGCTGCTGTGCTTCGTATAGCGAGTGAAGAGAATTGGAGACCATTTTCACTGGTAACGAGGCATTCCAACGTAAGGGTGACAACGCATATGCGTTTTGATTAATAATAAACGAGGATAGATGTAGATGTCTATGGGCCATAGCATGTACTTATCAGGTAGACTATTTGTTCGTTTGTCACTCTAATTTTATGTGAAAAAGCTTGTTAAACCAATAATTTTAATATTACTATAATTTCGTATAGTATACGTTATCGTTTAAAGTTTTTTTATTAAAAATAAGGACAAAGCGAGTTTATTCTATTCAAACATCCGCTTACAGTGTGTATTGTTTAATGGGTGTTAATGATATTATCACTAAAAGTGAATTCCTTTTTCCACTAGGTACATATTTTCCCTGGCATTGGCTGACTTGCTAGTAATTCTTATTTGTGTGCCATTTGTATCCATAATTTACACACTGGAATCATGGCCTTGGGGCGAAGCAATCTGCAGGATATCTGAAGCGGGAAAAGATATCAGCATAGGAGTATCAGTCTTTACACTAACTGCTTTATCCGCTGAGCGATACTGTGCGATAGTGAATCCATTTAGAAAACTTCAAGTAAGTATAACGATTTTTTCTTTTGCCTTACATATCAAATCTTTTCTAAGAAATTATCACAATATTCATAACTGTGATAACTTAAGTTTTACTATTTTTCTAAGTTGCGTGGGATCTGTAATACCTACGTATATGTTAAAAAATGCTAAGGATAGTAAGGGGAGTTTAAACATACGAGTATACTTTCACACAAAAAGTCACATTGGTTACCCTTTCTAATCGCTGTTAATTTTTAAATGTATTCAATTTCACTGAAACAAAGCATTTTATATATTAATTTAAAAGTGAGGATTATTATTGTCAGTGAATTCATGTTTTGTCTAATCGATGAAGGAAGTATCCTGTGTTCAGAATGCACTAAATGTAGTAAATAAAAATTTATATAAATATTTTAAATATTATTTATAAAAATAATGTTCACTCTTTACAATGGTGGAACGAGTCAATAAAAAAAAGAAACGGATCAGTGTTAATTAAAAACAAAAATCGACAAATATACACAATCAATGTTTATTAACAAAAAACTTTTAAACTTACAACAAACATATTTTTTATTTAAATTTTATATTATAAGTAATATTAAATATAGTATAATAATACGTTTTAGATATTCACACCAGAATCCTGAGGTCTTTCTCAAAAGTATCGCGGGTTATGGTATCATAATATGGTGCCACTTTTGGCAGACGCGTTAACATCGGCTAATATGTATATTTTTTTTACAGATATATTTATTTATTCTACCTAATTGCCGCTTACGGCGTTATGTAACTGAGATTAGATGTTTAGTTCCATATTGTCTCTACCAAACGGCGACATTGCGTCTACTTTATTTGTCATAAATAGTCATTTTCTTGTCTAATAGTTTTACTCGGTAAAAGGCTGTATTCATCGACCTACCTAATCTTTATCTATATATCTATACAAATAAATAAAATTGAAGTGTCTGTTTGTAATATCAAAATAACAGCTTTTTATTAAATGCATATGAAAGTGTATACGGTACTTATAACAAAAACACAATTTTTAAAAATTTTGTCTGTCTGTCTGTTTGTTCCGGCTAATCTCCGGAATGGCTGGACAGATTTTGATGGGACACAGGCTACTTTTCTTTTAGAAAAAGAATTAGGGTTCCGCGCAAAAAAAAAAATAATACCCCAAATTGAACGCGGGTGAAGTCGCGGGGAACAGCAAGTATTAAATAGGAAAGAAATTCGTGGCTGTAATTCTAACATTTCGTAGAAATATCCAGTATAAAAAGGATGTAATATAATTTTTCTTTTCATTTAAAACATAGTTGCTTTTAAAAAGTTGGTGCAAAATCATCTATTAAAGAGAACGTTTCTTTTGAATCATCCATGATGTCACTTAGGTACCTATATTGTTAAGAAACGTATATATTCATAGTTATTTATATGTACTACGTAGGTCACTCAATAAGTTTTGAGATGCTCGAAATTTAAAAATGAAACGCACCCGTGTTATATGTTTCTAAAAATCAAATTTTTTCCAAAATAGAACTCCATAAGCCAATTGCTCAATATTAAAAAAAAAAAAACAAAGTTGTATTAATTTTCCGGCAACGCTTCCCGCGCTTTTCATTTAAAACGATGGAACTTAACCGTGAACATTGGCGCGCTATGATATATTATGATTTTAAATTTAGTTTAACCAAACAATTAAGTTTAAAACGGTTAGAATCAGCATTAGGGGACTCAGTTCCATCACGCGCAACAATTTTTAGGTAGTTTGCTGAATTCAAAAGGGGTAAAATTAATTTTAAAGATGACCAAAAAATCGGGGCCCCGCAAACAGCAGTAACGGCAGAAAATGTATGGACTACTGATATGTTGGTGCGAGATGACCCACAAATCACATATACGGACATCGAAAAGATCGTAGGCACTAGTTCGGGGAGCATTCATACCATCCTACATCAACACCTTGGAATGAGGAAGCTTTGTTGTCGACGGATCCCTCGTTTGCTCTCCGAAAGCGAAAAACAGACTCGTGTGGATTGGTGCCATGAAATGCGTCTACAGTTCGAAAACCGTACATCTGGGCATGTTTCAGAAATCGTTACTGGTGACGAGACATGGACAAGGCAATCATCGGTATGGGTCTAGTTAGAAGAACAGTTACCGACAAAATTGCAAAGACCTCGAAACGTCGGCCAAGAAATGGTGGCTAGTTTTTTTTCGCGGAGCGGACATTTGTCGACGTCAGCGCTGGAAGATTGTAGGTCGGTCAACTCTGAATGGTATACTACAGTTGCATTACCCAAAGCTTTTCAAGCTGTGCGAGGGAGAAGACCGGGCTGCGGGGAATCATGCTGCATCACGATAACGCCTCTTCACACAACTCCATTAGAACAAAAGCATTTATTGAGGAATCTGGTGTTGAAACTCTAAGTCACCTACCCTACAGGTCTTACTTAGCTCCTTGTGATTTCTTTTTGTTGCCAAGAGTCAAAGAAAAAATAAAAGGCAAGTTTTTTTCAAGCGCCGAAGAAACCGTGGCTGCCTATGAAGAAGCGATTTCCGACCTGTCAGATCAAGACTGGCAAAAGTGTTTTCAGAGTTGGTTTAGGCGAATGGAACTTTGTATGGAGCATGATAGAGAATGTTTTGAAAAGATGTAAAATAAATATTAATAGTATCTAAAATACTTTTGTATATCTTAAGACTTATTGAGTGTCCTACGTATTTATATAATATGTATGTTGATATATATATATATATATATATACAGGGTCTCCCAGTAATGGTGGATAATCTGGTACGTACGTGTTCGGGCGGAGGGGAGGTGGCCTCGATTCCCAAAAAAAAAATTCTATCCCGAACTGTTCGCGGTCTACGCCATGTTTTATGAAATTTCGAAAATTCGTACTTCTGCTCACATTTGTGGTCATCACGTCCGCAGTTTAATGCCTAGATCGGATATTTTTCTTTTAATGTGTTCCCTAATAATAATGTTTCTAAATTACCCTTAAAAGTTTTCAACTACTATGGGTAGTATTTTACAAGACGGCACTAAACATAAGTTTAAATTTTTTACTTTATTTAACTGCTAAGTTTGAGCACCTGTGGTGAAAAAAACGTATAGGATCTGTGTGGCCAACCATTTAAAAAGTTTGCCTATATCGTAGAGATTCTAAAACATTAACATACCATGTACTTAATGTCATTACTTACTGAGCTATAGCCCTAAATGTGTAAAAGTAGGCATTTCATTAAAAAATTACAAAATTATTGGCAGATAGTTTTTTTAAACATTGCATGTCCTTATTAGGTAAATACATTTGTCGCCCTTGAAAATTTTACTTTACTACCTGCTCCCTTGTTTGGACGAATTCTAAGCTGTGTGAGCGAGACAACAAAAAATCTAATGGGTTATATCAGGTGATCTTGTTGGCCACTATGTCGGTCCCATTCGGCCGATCCACCAGTCACGGCTGGCTTCATTTAGGTAACTCCTTACTTGGACGGCGTAATGTGCCGGACAACCATCATTTTGGAGCCACATTCTTCGCCGGATGGCTAGTAGCTCATCTTTTAATAAATGGGGCAGCTCATTTTGCAGAAATTCTTAATAATTGGCTCCATTCAGTTTACCCGGTTTGTTCGCTGCCAACTGTGCAGATGATGCAAGTAAGGTAAGGTATTCGTCTCTTTTACACGTTGACTCGTCGCTCCACAAATTTTTTCTAAAAAACTCGGGATTTCATCCATTCGCCTCAGCATTTCTCTGCAAAAAGTAATTCGTACTCGGTAGTCACGTTGTTGAAGAGTTTGCACACGTGTAACATGATAAGGGTGAAGTCTCTATTTTTTGACAATCCGATGTGCTGTAGAGTGCGATACTTCAGTGCGTTGTTCGATATCTCGCATCGAAATAGACGAATCTTTTCTGCCAATTTCCAAAAAGGAGACGGTACTCAATTACTGACGGTACTGCATTATGATTCTTTATTGAGGATAGATGAGGATAGAGGCATCCCCAATACGAATAAGGAAGTAACTCTCTGGGGCGTCTCAAAAACATGTTTAATTAATTATTGAGAAATAAAAGTACTTATTATTTCCATTATAGATGTAGATGTCTATGGGTCACAGCAACAAAGACAAAAAATAAATAACAAAAGGCAAAGCAATTCGACTGCATATGCGATGTCAAAAAGGTCGAGATACGCACTAACCATATTTAACAATAACCAAACACGAATTCCAAACACGAATTCATACAATGGAGAATCTGTCGATCCTTTTTACTCACATTAATCCTAAGCACCGTTTGTCTCGCTCACACAGCTTAGAATTGAACAAACAAGGCGAGCATGTAGTAAAGTAAAATTTTCAAGGGCGACAAATGTACTTACCTAATAAAGACATGCAATGTTTAAAAAAAACCATCTGCCAATAATTTTGTAATTTTGTAACGAAATGCCTACTTTTACACATTAACCGCTATAGTAAAGTAAAGTAAAGTAAAGTAGTAGCCTATTTACGTTCCACTGCTGAGCACAGGCCTCCTCTCACTTCTGAGAGGGTTTCAAGGCAAGGAAATGTCCGCCGCGCTGCCCCAATGCGTGTTGGCGGACTTCACATGTCTTCGAAATATTGTTTTTTCTTATTTCTCAGACATGCAGGTTACCTTCACCGCCGAGTACGTGGTAAATCAGTACTTAACAATTTTATTGGTGCCGGCGGGGATCGAACCCGGGTTGCTCGAGTACTGTGAAGCTTACAGCGAGCGCTAACCATCTGAGCTACCACGGCTCTTAGCTACGGGCTAAACGGCTATAGCTCAGTAAGTAGTAACATTAAGTACATGGTATGTTAATGTTTTAGAATCCTTATAGTATAGGCAAACTTTTTAAATGATTGGCCACACTGATCCTTTACGTTTTTTTTTTCACCGCAGGTGCTCAAACTTAGCAGTTAAATAAAATAAAAAATTTAAACTTATGTTTAGTGCCGTCTTGTAAAGTACTACCCATAGTAATTTAAAACTTTTAAGAGTAATTTAGAAACATCGTTATTAGGGAACACATTAAAAGAAAAAAATCCGATCTAGGCATTAAACTGCGGACGTGATAACCACAAATGTGAGCAGAAGTACGAATTTTCGGAAGAATGCAATAAAGAATAAATAAATAAATAATTTTAAATACATACTTTTAGAGTTTTGACTTCTATTAATTATTCAGTTGATAACAGATATAGATATATATCTTCTTCATTCATGCGCTCACACATTTCTTTAAAATAAAACTAAATAGAACATATTATATTTAAAAATAAAATCGAATATTTTGTAATAAAATGAATGATACACAATTCGGTGATACACCGTGTTCAGTAAAAAGAGATGACGCTTGCTAGACTATTCCTTTTTAATATCGTGCTGGGTTTTATTTATAATCTCTTTTATAAGCATTACTTATAATTTATGTTAAATATTTTTTTCTGTTGTATGTTGTATGTTGTTGGCATTGTTGGCCCTGCGTCCTTTACAACTTCGCCGGAAAAAACTCGTAAGTGAAGACTTACGAGTTATTGAGTGCACTGTAGTCCCGAAGTATCTTAGTACGAGGGGGTTTCTCGATCTGATGGCAAACCTATGGATTACAATACTTTCGTGAGAAACTTACTTGAAGTGAGAAGTAAACAACGCAGTTGTAATCATTTTGAAACCATATTATGATTTTTCAGATTTTTGGTTCGATATATAAACTTTTAAGGATACATTAGAATACCTATATTTTTAAGAATTGGTTCAGAAAAATGTTAAATAAAATTAAATAAAAAATATGAATGTGAATTGGTGCTTGAAAGGGTTTTTATATTACACGATTGTTTTCAGCCTTCCATTTTACACGCCAAAAATTTCAGCTCTGTACTTAAGTAACTGCATATTATCTAGTTATGCAAAAAATATGTAAAATGATATTGTTGTAATAAGTGTTCTCTTTCGTAAATTTTGATATGGAAGGCTAATGATGTTGGTAAACCGAAATCCACGCTAGCAAAACTGCGGGATAAGTTATTTTTTTTTTTTCGTTTTTATTATCATCATAAAACACTAAATAATTTGTTTCAGCTAAGGAAACTACCATTCGTATGTGCAACATTAATTTGGGCAGCGGCTCTTATCTTCGCCACACCAGCCGCCGTATTCTCGAATACAGTAACGATGAATCTACACAACAACATGACCATTGTCTACTGCACTCCCTATCCTCAGGGTTGGAAGCATTATCCTAAGTACGACGCAATAACACTTTATAACATACATAATTTTAAATACTGAATGTTATTAATACTGAAAAATTACGTTTATTTTTAATAACGCAAAATAAATATAATATCTATTATTTATAATATAAAAAGTAATGTCAAAAATAATATTTGCTTTTTCGTATTTTACCTACTCTACATCAGATCGCGGTAAAACTTTATCAACTTATTGATTGCTTATAGGCATAGTACAGTTAACTTTTAGTAGGCGGCGCGTAAAACCGACAAACTTATTTGAATCTTTTTTTAATTTCAATGAATGTATCATTCCTAACTGAACAACATAACCGTTCCAAATTTAAAACGGTATTACCTCTTGCTAGCAATAATATATGATTTTGAAATATTCGATATTAATAAAAATACATGTTGAATTCGTTTACACACTGATATATTATGTATATAATATAAATATATAACTTTCTTTACAATTTCTATGCAGATGGATGACTCTGGCAAAAGCAATTATATACTACGGTTTACCGCTACTCATAATTGCAATCTTCTACTCCTTAATGGCTCAACGTTTATTAGCAAGTACCAGAGAAATGCCTGGTGCTTTGCATGGCGGGCAAGGAGAAGCACAAGCTAAGGCAAGAAAGTCTGTTGCTCTAATGGTATTAATCTTTGTTATAGGTGAGTCTTGTAATGTTTTACGTGTTTATGTTTTATTTTTTTTAATCTAGAATAATTCAACGAGAAGCATTAAGTTTTTTATAAAAGATAAGTTTGAGATAATAATTTGGTGTTTACTTGCTATAGCCGTTAGATATTCTTTGAGGCATTACACATTTTACAGTCTCTAAGGATTTTTGTTGAATAATCTTTCTTTTTTTTATATATTTATTATCCATTTTTGTAATATTCAATAAAATATATTTAATGACTTAAATAATTAAAAAATATTAACTAATTTATTTACCTTTACCGCCGTATAGAGGCGGTGCAAGAGAATGCATTAACACATACCATTCCGTTCGTGTCATAAGAGGCAATGGAAAGAATCTGAAACAGGTGTATAAGCAGTAACATTTTCCTGTTGATAGTTAAAAAAATCAAAAAGCTATCGCCGGCCTATCGTAGTAAATGTGCAAAAATATTACCTCATTATGAAATATGTAGTGTGGCTTATCTAGGCCTTTTGGTAGACTGTAGTAAATGGAAATAGATTAAAAAAGTTTAATTTAATAAATAAATAAAATAAAATTACTTTTAACGTAATATAATTTTTTTATAATGATTTCTTATATTTACTAGAATACTACACATTGAATAAAATTTTTTTTACGGTTTTTATCGCGTGACAATTAAACACACCTTGCAGTGAATTAACAATTAAACACCTGAACACGTTTCTTTATTCTCGTATAAGTACGACGACAGCACAATCTGACATCTCAAACGTCATTTCACGAACGTCCAGAAACTATAACAACTTATTCTTGATTCCCGACGTTTCGGGTGCTTTACAGCAATTTTTTTCCTCAATATTTTGGATGGAAATAATTTTTGGATTGGAAATACCTACCAACAGGAATGTTACTAATTAAACTGTTTGTCTCAATAAAAAATATCCTTTTGAAATAAAAACAAGTTGAAAAAACGCAGTTTTTTCTGTTCACATATTCGTATTTTTTTTAATAATAATTTAATTGTTATACAGAAAATAAAATAAAAAAATTCTTTAAAATTATATACATCTTCGAAGTCGAGCAATGTTTCAATACTTCTTCTTGATTAAGGGAAATATTTGTCTTTTGTATAAATATTAAATAATGATGTTAAACGTTTTCTCATTAACAACACTATTCTGAGTTGAATGGCAATCAGCATTAGAACTGGAATTCAGTGGCACCCTGATCAACGGACACATTATTTTTTTTTGTTTTCTTTAAAAAAACGTTCTACTACATTAGGATTTTCTCTTGTATCGTGGAGACAGTTTGCAAACATAAATTGCACGAGGATCAACATCCAGACCAGGAACAATTATTTGTAGGCCATACAAATACATGTTCCGTGCGGAATTCGGACCCGCGGCCCCTGGCGCAACAACTCATTGCTAAGCCACTGCGCCACGGAGCCGTCATTAATTCACTATAGTTCATAAAAAGTCAAACTAGTGGTAAAAGAATAAATTACTTTCAATGAATATTATTGTTATCTATATTGAATAAGAAATATTCTGTTCTAATCATAATTACATTAAATAACACGAATAAGATCTTTGACCTTTCAAATTTCATGTCGTAAAGCCACTTTTTAAAAATGTTGTTAAATTCTTTCAGTATTCTTTATATGTTTCCTGCCATATCACGCTTTTGAATTGTGGTTTCATTTATCGCCGACTGCTCAATCTGACTACAACGATTGGACGCACGCATTGAGGATAATAGGATTCTGTTTGAGGTAAGTGATCGGTATTGTTGATAGTTGAATATGCACCTGCTAATTCTGAAAGGTTTACTCGTACTTCACATATATTTAGCTTTTAACGTGCGCAGCATACGTGTCTGCTCTATCGTGCCGAGTTCAAATACCAGCTAACTCAAAAACATTTTCGCAACACGCAGATATTCGCTTGGAATTGAATGGGCATGATTCCAGTATTTTTATCATCCTAAATATCAACAAACAAATCCATATCCATTGCTCAAATATTTCCGACAATTTTTGTATCGGATATTGCACTGTTAGGTTGTGTTAAATTAGTATTAAGCGAATTGATGATTTAATATATAATATATATTTAATATATAATCAACTGTGAAATTTACTCAGCCTTATATTTAAGCTGAGTTAATTTTATTACAATATTTTAATATATCTATATAAAAATATTATATACTGCGTTACCGGGAAATGTCTTGAAACAGGTGCAAAGGAAAACATCATCATATTCAGTTTAAATGTGTAATTCAAACTGATATTATTAATAAATTTTGTTCCAATATAAAATATTTTGGAATAAAATTCGTAAATTGAAAAAATAACTACTTTAGATACTGGCCAGACGATAGACAAACTAGATTTGTTTTCCGGTGATACTTAATTATTTATTTACGGCTTTGCTCTATTAACAAATAAAAAATAAAACATCGTAATTTATTCATTTCTTCAATGTGGCAAACCCTCACAAAGACTTTGCACATTACATTAAGCTCGATGATTCTAATGGGCTGAAATTATAATTATGATGATGTAATTTTTTTTCTCTTTATCAGTCTGTAAAAATCCACCGCTGGATAATAAGGACTTCTGTTAGAAAGAAGCTTTGTCATAATCCCTACGCTTTTCAGCAGAAATATTGACGATCACTGCGCCAGGGGTGTCGCACTTTTTACGTACCTGACTGTTGCCATTTTGGGTATTTTACATTTGGCATAATATTTCTGATGGTCTATCGGCATCTATCTGAAAATAATGAATTTAAATAAATTACGTTCCTTAAAAAAAATTTAGTGCATCTGACAATGATAAGTAATTTAATTTATATTTAATTATCAGTTTCCTGAATTCCTGCGTCAATCCTGTTGCCTTATACTGTGTTAGTGGTGTATTCAGGCAACATTTTAATCGATATCTATGCTGTCGCCGAGGTTCATTACACCCAACATGCAGTTCTCGTCTGTCAAGGACTGCTATATGTGAAACTTCATTTAGAAGCACTCATAGACACAGATGCAACAGGTAATCGATTTCTAACATTTATTTCTATTATGTGAGACTTTTTAGCTTGGCGAAAAAATTGAATGGTACATGAGGCTAGTTTAAGTTCAATTACAACAGACTCCAATAAAAATGTTTTCACGATTTTTATAGCTAACTCACCGCGTACTTGAGGGCGAAGAAAAGATAGCGGAATGAAACGAACGAAAGATAGAAGAAGAAATAACATGTGATGTGTAATATGTCGACTTGCCAAATGCTTTGCGATGATTAGTTGTACATTGAATAAGTGCGATTGGTGTTTCATTTGCTACAATAACTGACGCGAAGTTAAATACTGCTCATTAATTTTTTTTAACAACCTCTCCACCGCTGCGGATATAAGCCATTTCAAAAATGTGCTACATGACTTAAAAATTCTTTATTAGGTGGTGGGCATTATATCTTAGAACTCCGAGGTGACAAAACATTTTATTTATTAGAAGACGAATGTAGGTATCCAGAGGTTGTACGCCAATAAATGAGATCATAGATTATTTTACGAAGAAATTGTACTCCGATAATACGTGTGATATAAAATAATTAATGTAATTAACAAGGCTTAATTAATTAATCTCTGGATACTAATCATCTTCTAATATATAAAATGCGTTGTCACCTCTGAGATCTATTGTGTAATGCTCACCTAGGTGGTGATAAAGAATTTTCAAGTCATGTAGCACATTTTTGAAATGACGTATATCCGCAGTGGTGGTAAGGTTGATAAAGAAAAAATGAATAAGCAGTATTTAAATTACTTTACATTTATAAATACTTAACTTATATTATAATTTATATTAGTTACTTAAATAATAGTCGTGTAAAATGTCTTATTACTTCAATATTTCAGGAATCCAACAGAAAGCGTTGTAATTTCTAACTATGATTACGGTAATACTAAAAAGAAGAATAACATAATATCAAGGAACAGTGCTGATGGCGTTACGATTATGACAATCAGGGACTCCAACGATTTTCTTACCTGCGATATTAATGAAAAATGCATTAACAGATAGAATGCGTTTCTTTAAGATTAATTAATTATATTACATAATTTTAAGAAAAACTAACTTCGTAGGTTAACAAATAAAAAAGACATTTTGTGTGTATTTATCATAGAAGAGTCATAAATATATGAACAAATCACAACTACATTTGAACATTAAAATGTTTTATTGAATATGTGACAGTGTATGTAATATCACTGAAATGTAACATGTAAGTAAATGAACACAGAATAAATAATAAACTAAAATTACTAATGATAACAAATCTGCAAATCATTAAATAATCAGGCCGGACTTTGCCAAGTGATCTTTCGGCTAAAAATATTTTTATTTTTTATTTATTTAAACTTTTATGCGCAAAAGAAAAATCATGCATATGGCGGACTTAATGCCCATTGACATGGCATTCTCTCCCAGTCGACCATAATATGTATAATATAAATAATTACAAGGACGGAAAATGCTCGCGACTATAATAATATGATTAAGTACGATATTTTGTTGATCGCTCATAAATTTTCGATTAAATAACTCTAACGTTAATATGCACTTTTAGAATTATAGTGCAGAATGAAGCTGAGCAAGAATTATTTCATGGTCAATGGAAAATTTCTACTAAAGAAATGCAAGCTTAGGTTATTATTATACAATTATTATGGATGTGAATATATAGTGATATAAATTTAAAAATTGATATATTATATATAAGTTTTACCTCTAAATAGTTACCACTGATGTAAAAGAAGGTTTTGAAACTCTTTTTGCTATCGGTTTTACTTTTAAGGAATTTTGGGGTCCATTGATATCAAATATGATTTTTTATTTTTGTTTAATAAAACACGTTTAATTTTATGACTATCTATAATGTGTCATGCGATGGATTCGAGATTATAGTATGTTGATATATAAAAAATTATAATTAGATAATAGATTTCACAATTTTTTTCTATAACTTCCTAAATTATACAATTAATCTTAAACAATAATTAGGCACATTAATTATAGCTCTTGTCATTAATTGTAATTATATATTTGTATTTTAGAAACAATAAATGTCAGATTCCAGAATATATTCATATTTCTGTAAAATGTGTTTGTGTGTTCTGAACGTAAACAATTTTTTTCATATGTGGCTTAGTTACCGTTTAAACACTTGTTGAAAAATTGGCAAAACAGGAATAACTGTGTCTTTAAAAATACTTACTTATTTGAATCAAGTCTAAAAATATTAAATTCAATCATATACCGTCAAGAGTTTTGGTGAATTTTTCAAAAGAACATACCTATAAAATTATATGTAAAATAAAAGTTAATGAATTTCGAAACCTATGTTTTTCGTTGTCCGCTTCATACGAATTGAATACAAATTGTAAATATTGTATTTTACTTGTAAATAATTACTATTTTAGTTATTCATTACAATTTGAATTCGGTTAAACTATAACGTACATCGTGATATTGTATTAACTGATGTTGTATTATTTTTAAATATTTTTTCTACCTTTATATTTGGTAACGACGTTAATTGCTAACTTACCTTGTAATAGTTCTCAATGTCAAACTTTTAAAATGTATATTTGGAATAGCATAAAAATATATGTTATGTAAATGTCCAAAAAGATTTTTTATTAAGGAAAAAATGGTAAATATTATGATCACGTTGGTGATTTAAATAAATAAATTTATATCATCAACGTGAATGTTACTAATTCAATTGTTTATGTCTCAATAAAAACTATATCCTTTTGAATAAATACAAGTTGGGTAAAACCCGCTTTTTCATTTACTTCACATATTTGAATTCTTCGTGAGGGTGAAAACTCCCAGCGATCACCGAATGGTTAGAGCCACACTGAACCTAAACGTTAAGTTGAGGAGGTCACGTCTAATGAAGTTAACGCTCCATCCCCCTCGTACTCTAATCCAAAATCCCAAAAACATTGAGATCGAATTACAAGACCGTTTTCAGTGCCAGTAGACTGCAATGCAGTGGACAATATGAATGACAAGCTCGAGGAAACTGTCCATGCGGTCGGAGCTAAGTTCTGCAATACTCATCGCAGAAGAACACAAAAACTTTCGAAATACACATTTAATCTTATGGCTGATAGATTGGAAATGAAGCTGCAGTCTTCAGCAGATTTGGCAGAATACAGGCAACTAAACAGACAGATCTCCAAATGCATGCGGCGTGACTAACGCATCTTCAATACAGCTCGTATTGAAGAAGCGATCGAGCGAAACCAGGTCTCCAAAGTCATTGCTAGAGATCTGTCTGCTAGAAAGAGCCAACTGTCGAAGCTAAAGACCGAGTGTGGTAGCATCGTTTCCAGGACACCTGAGATTTTGGGTGAGATTGAGAGGTTCTATAGGCAGCTAGCTATACACGTCATCATTGGAGCCACACTCAAGAGTGAGTAATGATCCAAGAGCAAGTCTTATCTGACTATTCCGATGATATCCCAGACGTCAGTCTGCGTGAGATTAGAATGGCTCTCCAGCTCCTAATAAACCATCGCTGTAATTCCATCCCCAGGCGAGGATGGAATTAAAGCGGAGCTTCTGACAGCGGGTGGAAAACCGGTACTTAAAGTCCTTCAGAAGCTCTTTAATTCCGTCCTCCATGGTGGCACTACTCCGAAGGTGTGGAGTAGAAGTGCGGTAATGTTGTTCTTCAAGAAACGCTCTCTTGAAGAACTATAGACCGATTTCCCTTCTGAGCCGCGTCTACGTCCTGTTTTCGAGAGTCATTACGAATCGTCTCGCACGCAGACTAGACGACTTCCAGCCTCTCGAACAAGCCAGTTTTCGAATAGACTTTAGTGCCATAGACCACGTACATACCCTTCCGCAAATTGTACAGAAGACTGAAGAGTACAACATGCCACTTTGTTTTGCGTATGTGGACTATGAGAACGCCTTTGATTCCATCGAAATTGGCTGATGCTATAGTCCCTACAGCGGTGCCAAGTTGACTGTCGATATATCGAAGTGCTGAAGTGTAGGGTATGGTGGCTATCCGAGTACAGAACCAGAGTACGAAACCTATCCAACTGCAGAGAGTTGTAAAATAGGGTGACGTGATATTTTTTTTATAGGATTAGGGTGACAAACGAGCACACAGTCCACCTGATGATAAGTGGTTTCTGTGGCCCATAGACATCTACATCTATCCTACATTACGAATTAAAATGCAGATGCGTTGTCACCCGTGAGGACTAAGATGGAATCCCTCGTTTCCAGTAAAAAGGGTCTCCGGTTCTCTACACTCACCATACGAAACACAGCAGCGTTAAACTGCTATTTTACGCTGGTATTCTGTGAGAGCGTGGTACTTCCCCTGTCGAGCCGACTAATTCGTGCTACAACTATACCAGTAATATAGCTGCAGCATGGCTCTACCACGTGCAAGATATATCCTGATGATATCCTCGAAACTCTTTACTGCTGTATTGGAAGACATTTTAAGCTACTGGACTGGAACAATACATGTCATACTTATGCCGGTAGTTGTTGGAAGTACTAAGAGTCAAGTTGTTGACGATTATGTTTACCTGGGACAAATAGTTAGACTAAATCCAACTCAATCGAGAGGTCAATGCACGGATTCGTCTCGGCTGGGCAGCGTTCGTAAATTACGACACATCTACTCGTCGGGTATAGCTTAAAACTTTAAAACGAATTTGGGCAACTAGTGCGCGTTGCCAGTTATGACTTATGGATCGGAGACGTGGTCCTTCACTGCTGGCCGTATGAGGAAGCTTAAGGTCGCTCAGTGAACTATGAAGAGGGCTATGCTCGGGGATAAAATATGCAGGAAGTCGATAGAAGTAGGTGGCTCAGGACCATGCTTTGTGGCATTCCTTAGGTGAGGTCTATGTACAGCAGTGGACTTGTGAAGAACTGTAATGATGATAATTCGTATTTTTCAGATAATTAATTAAACTGTTATTCAAAAAGTAAATAAAATAAAAATTTAATTTAAAAAAGTACGAATAAGGCTATGGGAGTCCTTAATATTGTCAAAATTAAATTACAGTGTCACAGTATACAAACCACTGCTTCTTTACAATACTCGCCACCTAACGAGAGCTAAATGCATGTTGTTGGCACTGCTTCCGTACTCGTATTCGTCTGTGAAGTCATATTTTTTTTATTTACATAGGGCGTTAATGTGGATGCCTTTACTATTCGGTGTTTTTTATAGTTAGTTTAAATATATATTGTGTCTTAAGAGTCATACACTAGAATATTTATTTTCTAAGATAAAGTCTTCTTCCTTTTTAAAAATATTCATACTCGTATATTATGAACATTTACTGGTAGCTTACTACATCTAGCTGCGAAGTGTTGCAATTATATTCCTCCGCCACAAAATCAATCTATTTTTGTTCATAGTTTTAAAAACGATTGAAAACTGTCGTTAAAATTTAAAAAAATTGCACAACCGACTTCCATATAAATTATTACTGATAACTCAAAAACGACTGGTCAAACCTAGATCAAATTAATATAAGAATACATAAGAAGCTCTAAATTTCAAATAAAAAAGAATCATCACAATCGGTTCACCTAGAACAAAATTTATAAGGTAACACGCTTAAAAAAATACATTGAGGACTTCCTTCTAAGCCTTGAAGTCGGTAAAAAAGCAATACCATTACTCGGTTAAATGTAGTAATAACTGAATAGGCGACAAATTGTCGTTACTACCCGTCACCCGTTCCTTTTTCCGTAATTTATGCAATATCTAACCTTGAGTGTACACTTGAGTGGATTGAGCGAAACACGGCGATGGCACCAGGTAACTTCTTACGCATTTGTAATCACATTTACTAGTGTAATATATTCTACATTTTTTTATAGAATAACGAGCACAAACTTTACATGATAATAGAGGTTTCTGTGACCAGTAGACGTCTATATCTATCCTCGATTAAGAATAAAAATACAAATTCATTGTCACTCCTAAGGACTTATTTAGAAATGCCTCGTTTCCAGTAAAAAGT